CACGTACAGGAATCCACAGCGAGGGGCTCAACAATATGTCTCTCTGTGTCTGCAGTTCAATTACATATTGTTGCTGTCACGTCTTGACCATCTTATATGTACAAGAATACTGAAATCTAGTAAGCTCCCGAGGCTTCATGAACGTTCTAGAAGCGCGTGACGTGTTACTAGCGTCACGTGACCTCCGCTGTCGTAACAATACTTTCCATTAACTATCTAGTATATATATATATGAGGAGGATGGTTTCCAGCTCACGTTCAACAGTCCACAGAAATCTATAGGCGATTTGACCAGCATAATGTAAATAACCATTTTAATCTTCAGCTGCATGAGGTGTGTGATGTTTGAATGGATAAGTCATGGCAGCAACTTGAATACACGTGACTTTTGTCGCTTTTCCAGATGGAGTTCCCTCTTGATTATGTTGGGTGCTTTTGCCTCGGACACGTGGATGGCTTCTGCCACTGACCTTTCTGGTCATGGATGTTCAACTGTTACAATACGCTGTATTTTGCTTACCCCAGTTGGTGTGCTACTTATTGTAGGTATCTTTATCATTACATACAGTATGGTAGTACTTAATAGTAGGGTTCGTGAAGAAACAAAATTGCGGCCATAAAAATCGCCCGTTTAAAACCACCTTTAAAATGCCTGAATACTAACAATGAGTATTTCACAATATTGGCTGAGCAAAACTAAAGCTTATTGTACTTATAATGCCGCTTAAATCGCTATATACGTGTCTATGGAGAGATTAAAAATTTCGCTATTTCAACGTGGCTTTTCCAGTCAAGCGTACACAAAAAAAGGACGAACTTTATTGCTCTAGTTCTTTTGCAGAATTCTTCCGTCTGGGGTACCAATGATTCCTGTCTTGTACTAAAAGGATACTAGTATATATATATAAAACGGATGATGCGATACTTTGGGCATATGATTATATTTGAGAGTATGTTGGTAGAGAACCTGATGAGTAATAAAATCGAAGTCGGTATACGCAAGCCTCACACTTGGTATTGCTGGTACATAATAATATAGCTAATAAAATGAAACAAACAAGTATAATAAAAAAATTTGAATGTTATAAAGACAAGTAGGGATTGATATAGACATAACCTAGTTAGTTATAGTCATATAAAAAATGAAATGCTATAAAATATATTGAAACAAGAAAGTGAAAACTACAAAAACTGAGTTACTTAAAATTTAAAAAAATGTATCTCTGCTTTGGCTAATCACTGTAATTATGTTATTCTGAGCCAAGGTAGGAATAAAATTGGTGCCTCAAGTTGATCCACATTGCTTTACTTTCCAGTGCCATTAAGTACACGCAATATCCCCATGTTGGAAATTCGAAATCTCGGATCTGAAAACATCTGTATGATCTGAGTATATATATTGTTACGACAGCAGAAATCACGTGAATTATCGGGGGACTCCGCGAATGTTGCAGACGCCTCTTTGTTAGTATATAAGCCTGGCAGAGAAAAGCCAGGGGATGATTATGCGAACAGTAGTTACGGTGAGTTTCGGGTAATTTACGATTCTGTTCCGAGATAGTGTGTG